TCTTACCTGTTTTGGCCGTTGTCAACTATTTTAGGAGGTAGCATATGATCAAGAAGCAATGGTATTGAAAGAAGAAGTCCAAGCTACACTGAAGGAATTGGCAAAAAGCAAGGTTCCAGGCATTGATGGAATACCCATTGAGATGCTTTAACAAACAGATGAAGCACTGGAGGTCCTTACTCGTCTATTCCAAGAAGTTTGGAAGAGAGCTACCTGGCCAACTGACTGGAAGAGATCCATTTTTGTACCGATCCCAAAGAAAGGTGATCAAACACAATGTGGAAATTATCAAACAATATATCATTAATATCACATGCAAGTAAAATCTTGCTGAATATAATTAAAAAATGGTTGCAGTAGCATACTGACAGGGAACTTCCAGAAATGAAAGCTGGATTCAGAAGAGGATGTGGAATGAGGGATATTATTGCTGATGTCAGATGGATCTTGGCTGAAAGCAAAGAATACCAGAAAGATGTTTTTCCTTGTGTTTCATTGACTTATGTAAAAGCATTCGATTGTGTGGATCATAACAAATTATGGATAACATTGAGAAGAACAGGAATTCTAGAACACTTGACTGTGCTCATGAGCAACCGGTACATAGACCAAGAGGCTATTGTTCGAACAGAACAAGGGGATACCATGTGGTTTAAAATCAGGATGAGACTGCATTAGCACTGTATCCTTTCACCATACTTATTCAGTATTTATGCTGAACAAAGGAGCTCTGGCAGTGTAGTGCCTAAGGTATGTGACTGGTAACCAGAAGGCTGGGAGTTCAAACCCACCAGCCAGTCCTCAGAAGGATATTGGATGATCTACTTCTGCAGAGATATTGCCTCAGAAACTCAGGGAGGGGTCGCTATGAGTCGAATCGACTCGAGGGCAGTGGTTTTTTTTTTTTTTTTGTGTATGCTTAACAAGTAATCTGTGCAGCTGGAATATATAAAGAAGAACAAGGCATCAGGATTGGAGGAAGCCTCATTAACAACCTACGATATGCAGAAACAACTTTACGTGCTAAAATTGAGCATGACTTGAAACACCTACTGATGAAGACTCAAGACTACAGTCTGCAGTATGGATTACATCTCAACATAATGAAAATGAAAATCCTCACAACTGGACCAATAAGCAGCATCACAATAAACGGAGGAAAGATTGAAGTTGTTAAAGATTTCATATTACTTGCTTCCACAATCAACATCAACAGAAGCAGCAGTCAAGACATCAGATGACATGTTACACTGGGAAAATCTGCTGCAAAAGACCTTTTTAAAGTGACGAAGAGCAAAGATGTCTCCTTGAAGACTAAGGTGCGCCTAACTCAAGCTATGGTTATTTTCAGTCGACTCATATACACGTGAGAGCTGGAAAATGAACAAGGAAGGCCACAGAAGAATTGATGCTTTTGTGTTGTGGTGTTGGCGAAGAATACTGAATGTAACATGGGCTGCCAAAAGAATGAACAAATCTGTCCTGGAAGAAGTGCAGCCAGAATGCTTCTTGGAAGTGACAGTGGCCAGCCTCATCTCACTTACTTTGGTCACGTTGCCAGAAGGGACCATTCCCTGGAGAAGGATATCATGCTTGGTAAAGTGGAGGGTCAATGAAAAAAGGGAAGGCCCTCAATGAGATGGACTGACACGATGGATGTAATGATGCACTCAGATACAGAAAGGATTGTGAGGCTGGCACAGGTCCGGGCAGTGTTTCGTTCTGTTGTATGTAGGGCCACTAAGAGTCAGAGCCAACTCAATGGCAGCTAACAACAACAGCAACATCAATATCACATTCAAGTAAAATTTTTCTGAAGGTAATTCAAAATGGTTACAGTGATATATTGATTGGGAAGGTCCAGAAATTCAAGCTGGTTTCAGAAGAAGATGTAGAATGAGGGATATCACTGCTGATGTCAGATGGATCTCAGCTGAAAGCAAAGGATACCAGAAAGATTTTACCTGTGTTTTACTGACTCTGCAAAGGCATTTAACTGTATGGATTATAAAAAATTATGGATAACACTGCAAAGAATGAGAATTCCAGAACACTTAACTGTGCTTATGAGGAACCTGTACATAGACCAAGAGGCTGTCGTGTGAATAGAACAAGGGAACTGCATAGTTTTAAATCAAGAAGGGTGTGCATCAGGGTTGTATCCTTTCAACATACTTATTCAATCTTTATTCTGAGCAAATAATCAGAGAAATTGGATTAAATGAAGCAGGATGTGGCATCAGGATTAGAGGAAGATTCAATAACAACCTGCGATATGCAGATGACACAACCTGCTTGCTGAAAGTGAAGATGAGTTAAAGGACTTACTGATGAAGATCAAATAATACAGTCTTTACTATGGCTTGCACCTCAACATAAAGAAAAGTAAATTCTCCTAACTAGACCAATAAGCAGTATCACAATAAATTGAGAAAAGATTGAAGTTGTCAAGGATTTCATTTTACATGGATCTACTTAATCAACACTCATATAAGCAGCAGTTCATATTGCACTGGGCAAATGTGTTGAAAAAGACCTCCTTTAAGTGTTAAGAAGCAAAGATGTCACTTTGAGGACTAAGGTGTGCCTAACTCAAGCCATGGTATATTCAATTTCCTCATATGCATGTGAAAGCTGGACAATGAATAAGAAAGATGGAAGAAAAGTTGATGCTTTTGAATTACAGTGTTCGTGAAGATTACTGAAAATACCAAGGACTACCAGAAGAATGAACAAATCTGTCCTGGAAGAAGTGCAGCCAGATTGCTCCTTAGAAGTAAGAACGACCAGACTTCATCTCACCTACTTTGGTCAGGTGGTGAGAAGGGACAATTCCCTGGAGAAGGATATCATGCTGGTAAAGTAGAGGGTCAGTGAAAAAGGGGAAAACTCTCAACAAGATGGACTGACACAGCAGCTGCCACAAAGGGCTTGAGTAGAGCAAGGATTGTGAAGATGGTGCATGACTAGGCAGTGTTTCATTCTGTTGTACATGGGGCTGGAGTGGACTTGACAGCACCTAACACCACCACTAACAAACAGAAACTGCTCCCTCTCAGCTGCCAAACCAAAGCCTTTTTCTTTTTGTCAATTTTGTATTAGACAGAAATCCCTTCTTTCTTCCTCCTTGAAATATTCCTCCCCTGACTCTAACAATAGGACGTTACCCCAATTCTGCTTCTCTGTCCTTCTGCTACTGTTGGGGGTCATAGGTGCTGGTACTTCTTTCTCTGGGCTCTCCTTATCCTCAAAAAAAGCAGATGACCCTCAAGGGTATATTTCTAAGTTTTACGTTGGGCCTGAGCTCGAGGCTTATGTTTCAACTGTCTGGCAAACATCTCACCTCTATATTCTGCCAGTGCTTCACACTCACTTCTAGGATTGGATGGATCATCTCATCTCAAATAATCTTTCCCTCTTGATAGTCTTTAGTCTTCATCTCCATTTCCACGAGCCTCCAGTTAGCTGAATTCTGTTGGTATTTATTAACTTCCTCACTTTTTGCCTATTCTTATTATGTCCAAATTAGCCTTCTAACTTTTTGTCTCCATTCTTCCATCCATCAAATGTTACATACAGTCTCTAAATTAATCTTTCAAAAGAACCATTCCCCTGCTTTAAAACAAAGAAAGAAATGCCCACACCATCTTCTCATGTTTCTGATGCTTGAGAGATAAATTACAAATTCCTAATCTGGAATTTACATCCTCTTAACATCCTTGCAGGGAGCTCTGGTAGCTTAGTGCCTAAGGCACTTGACTACTAACCAGAAGGCTGGCAGTTCAAACCCACCAGCCACTCCTTGGAAGGAAGATGGGGCAATCTACTTCCATAGTGATACTGCCTCAGAAACTCAAGGAGGGGTCGCTATGAGTCGGGTCTGACTCAATGGCACATGACAACAACAACATCCTTGCAAAAATGTACAAAGAAGAGCCTACAAAATCTGTTCTGATGGGAGAGAGGAGACCAGGGAGAAAGAAGTAGAAGAAAAGTATTGTCATGGTCTGCAGGCTGTCCTAAACCCAGGCCGTTAGCTGCTGAAAATGAGCTGATTTCATGAGATAGTACCAAGGTGGAATCAGGTTATCCAGAGTGGCGTAGGAAGTCCATTTCATCCAGTGTTATCACGTCACCTGAGCACTACACCTTAAAGAGTCATAGATACTCTCCAATTTTTTTTTTTTTTTAAACTCAGCATCAGTCCCTATCCTCCGAGTTTCCAACACTGCAATAGTAAAAAATAACTATGTGCTTATAACATGTTTACTAATTTTCAGAGAACTTATCACACTATCCTGTGCTTTATTTTCTCATCACCCTGGAGAGATGGAAAGGACAGATTTGAATCAGAATCCAAATCTATTACCCATTTTCCAGTGAGAAAGGTGAATTATTAAGGAAAAAACAAAACAAAACAAAAAAAAACCAAACTCACTGCTGTGGAGTCGGATCCCACTTATAGCCACCCCTTCTTGGGGTTCTGAGACTGTATCACTGTGGAAGTAGATTGCTCAATCCTCCTTCCGAAGTGTGGCTGGTGGATTTGAACTGCCAGCCTTCTGGTTAACAGTCAAATGCCTTAGAGCCTTTGACTGCTATGCTACCACAGCTCCCAGGTGAATTATAGAGCATCAAAAAACTGCTCAAGATCATGTTGCTAACTGTGTGGCAGAGCTGGACTGAGGAGCAACATCTCCTGACACCCAGCCAACAGTGTGTTGGAGCCAGAAATGGAGCTAGCCTATAAGTGCTGACTGTGAGGTTTTCAGGAATCTGCCACATGATTTAAACACAGCTATTATTTAACATTAAAGTATATAAACCCCAAGAACTAATCATTAAACATTTACCAGTACAGCACTGCTCTCAACTCTCTTCCTTCCATCCACTAATCCAATACTCATATAAAGACACCCCCAAAATGAAGACAGCTTTAGTTCCTCATTCACATGGGCAGGTTCTGGACCAAGAGTGGGGAAGAGGTGGACACAACTTACCGAAGCTTCACGTTTTGCCCTGTGTAGGATTCATATGGCTTCTCCACGTGGGTGAATTCAAAGTCAAAGGCCTGTGACTGGGTGATCTCTCCGGGCCGGGCCAAGTCCTTCACCAGGGATACAAACTCATGGTGGTTCCCACGGTCGTAGTAGAGTTCTGGAGAGAGAACATCACCCTCATCTATCAGGCCCTGAGCCACATGGGGCAAGGAAGGGTGCACTCTCTTCTGAACCTCTCTTCTGAAAGATTTCCATCAGTGCCTTCTCAATCCACTACTAGACTGACTTGATGACAGTGGTTTTTTCTGGAAAGTATATTCACTTATTTAATCATACTGTCCTTATATTAATCTTGTGAGTTAGCTAGGAATGGCCTTATTTAACATGAGGAAGTTGAAGCATAGGGTAGCTAAATGACTGGATTACAGTCACAGAACTGGTTGCAAATCTGAGATTAGAGCAGGTCTCCTCCTTGACTCTGCCTATATCCATTACCTGGTATAAGAGGATATACCTTTATATAAACTTCATAAAGTTTTATGTGAAAATTAAAGGCAGTAATACAGGTAAAGGATTAGGATAGAACTGAGCTCCTATCAACAGTAAGTACTCAATAAATATTAGCAGCTAGTTGCTATTTAAAGGAACTCTGGCATAGTGGTTAAGGCATTTGGCTGCTAACCAAAAGGTTGGTGGTTTGAACTCAGCAGCCACTCCATGGAAGAAAGATAAGGCAATCCACTTCTGTTAAAGATTTACAGAAGTCTAAATCAACTCAATGGCCGCAAGTTTGGTTTGATGTTTGAGCTGCTACTAGAAAAGGAATGCACGTGGCTAATGTGACAAATTTTAAGGTTATGTCTATTCTGAATTACTATGGCTCTCCAACTTCAGTGTGCATTAGACTCACCTGGAGAGCTTGTTAGAACACAGAGTGCTGGATCTACCCTTAGTGTTTTTGATACAATGGGACTAGGGGCCTGAGGATTTACATCGCTAACAAGCTCCCAGGGGACATTGATATTGCTGGTTCAAGGATGGCACTTTGAGACACAATGTTCTAACTTCTTCTGGAAATTGTTCTGGTATTTCTTTTTTGCAATTTTTTTAAGTATTTTTAAGAAAAATACACAGCAAAATATAACCAATTCAATTGTACCTACACGTACAATTCAGTGACATTGATTACATTCTGAGTTGTGAGTTGTGCAACCATTCACACAGTCCTTTTCTGAGTTGTTCCTCCCTCATTAACATAACTTCCCCCTAAGGTTCCTATCTCTTATTTCAAGTTGCTGTTGTCACTTTGATCCCATCTAGATACTTCTTAAAAGAACATAATGCTCAAAGCATACATTTTTTTACTGGTTAAGCTAAACTACTGTGTGGTTTTAAGAAGACTTCAGAGGGCATTTTTAGTTTAAGTTTTAAAGATTATCTCAGGGCAGTAGTTTCAGGGTTTCATACATCCCCCTTGGCTTCAGAAAGTCTGGAGTCCATGACATTTTGAAATTCTATTCTGCATTTTCCCCCTTCTGATCAAGATTCTTCTACAGAATCTTTGATCAAAATGTTCAGTAATGGTAGCCAGGCACCATCCAAGTCTTCTTGGAATATATATTGCAAAGAAGGAAAAAAAAATAAATAAATAAATAAAATATATATATGGCAAAGGGAGTTGTTCATGGAGTTAGTTAGCTACACATTCTATACCCTCCTTTTATTCCTGACTCTCCTTCCTATGTTGCTCCAGGCAAATTGTTGTTGTTGTGTTTGCCATCAAGTTGGATCCGACTCATAATGACCCCTCCTTGTGTTTCCGAGGCAATATCACTATGGAAATAGAATGTCCAACCTTCCTTCAGAGAAGGGGCTGGTGGGTTTGAACCACCAGCCTTCTGGCTAGCAGTCCAATGCCTTAGGCACTATGCCACCAGAGCTCCCGCTCCAGGCAAATAGAGACCAATTACTGTGCCTTGAAGGCGCTCTGGTAGCATAGCGCCTAAGGCATCTGACTGCTAACCAGAAGGTTGGTGATTCAAACCCACCAGCCACTCTGTGGAAGCAAGACTGGGCAATCTACTTTTGTAAAGATTTACCTGCCTAGGAAACACAATGGGGGTCAGTATGAGTGAGAATTGACTCGATGGCAGTGGGTTTGGTCTGGGTGTTTTTTGGTTGTGCTTCGCCTTTTAAGACTCCATAGGCACTGTGCAACAAACTAGGAGGTAGAAGCACTAAGCACATTATTAAGCCAATTAACTAGGATGTCCCAGGAAAAAAGGCCCCAAACCTCCAAACTAAAAACCAAATCCCATTAGGTTTTGGTTATATACAAGCATCCTCAAAAGCTACTCTTTTGTTGTTGTTGTTGTTACAAATATCATACAATTTTGGCCAATTCAAGGACCCCGGGTGGCACAGTGGTTAAAACATTTGGCTGCTAACCAAAAAGGTCAGCAGGTCAAACCCACCAACTGCTCCATGGGAGAAAGATGAGGCAGTGTGCCTCTGTAAAGATTAACAGTTTTGGAAACCCTATGGGGCAGTTCTACTTGGTCGTAAAGGGTTGCTGTGAATCAGAATTGACTCGCTAGCAGTGGGTTTGGGTTTGGTTTGCCTATTCAACTCTTTAAATTGTACAACTTACTGACTGCCACTATAATACCCAACTGTGCAACCCTACCTTTAATCAATGTGATGTTTCCATCAACATTAATACCCCTTTCCCCCTCTTTCCTGCCCCTGGTAACCACTAATAAACTTTGGTCTCTATACATTTGCTTTTTCTTGTCTCTTTATATGTGAGGTCATACAATATTTATCCTTCTGGACTTATTTCATTCAGCATAAAGTCTTCAAGCTCCATCCATATTGTAGCATGTCTCAATACTTTGTTTCTCATACTAGCTGAGTAATATTGGTATTTCTTTATTATAAGATCATGCACCCATTTGTTCAATATTATTTTATGTCTGTTTGTACTCTGCTACTCAAATAATGTTTTGCTTATATACATGGTCTTTCCCATTTTATACTGTAAGCCCCTTACAGATCAGGCCTATATACTGGCTTCCTGGCATCTACCCTAGTGCCTCGTTTTGCAGTGGTGGACACTTAATATTCACTGTGACTACACAAGACAGTTAACAGTTCCAGCTACTGCACCCTCGGGTATTTCTGGGTTAAAACTCTGTGCTAGGCTTTAATTTACAGGAGGGTAGCCCAACTGGGAAAGCAGAGAAGGCAGAGCAGTTGCTACTAAGGAAAAAGTTGGGTCTACAGAGAGCAGTCTCCAAGACAACAGGTGTCCGGCTGCATCTCATCATCTCCAGGACACAGGACCAATCTCTTTCTGAGATATGAGCCTGAAAGACAAGGGGGGAGGTACACTGGCTCTGGGGTCTATCCCTGATAGCATGAGGTCTGAGCCCAATTAGGACCACAGCCTTCTCAGGCCCAAGACACCAGGCCTCTTGTTTTCCCAGAGTCAGCAGAGTGTCTAGCCCTGCATTGTGGGGAGAACCATATTCAGGAGGAGACTAACCCCTTGCTCACCCAGGAGCTTGTACTGGCATACCTGTTCCCCACAGACTCTCTTTCTCCAGAAAGGGAAGTACTCTGAGGCAGTGTGGGCTCTAGAAAGCATGTGGATAATCCCAAACTAGCTAATGCCGCTCCTATATAAATTTATAAGTATTCTGCAAACATGGTTTGTGGCTGATTGTCCTGTGTAATCACGTTTTGCTCAATCTTGTATTACAAATGATCACTTCTTCTCCCAAATACTAAATGGTTTCAGAAGCAGTGGGCAACATTCTGGGTAGTGAAAATAACCCACATGAAGCTAAGTGAGAGATGAGAGCAGGCAGGGTAGGGGAAGGCAAGAAACCCATTGTTAATTTTAAAATCCAGTAAATGTGTTCCCCAATGAAAGTAAGGAAATGCAGGGATGGGGTAGAGAAAGAGCACTTGCTAGCCCTTGTGATGAGGGCTCCTCCAAGGACTTTTGCTGGTCTGTCCTACGTTATCCTGTGTAGAAAGTACTGGCTTTCCACTTAACTTGTGGACCTGGTGTCTCCACCACCGAACACAGGATTCTGACCATAGCTCCAGGTGACAAAGGTAGGCAGAGCAAGGGCCCAGAGTTCATGAACTGTTAAGTGGGAAATCCCAGAGTCAAGAGAAAGAAGGGAAGAAGTGGGTAGAAAAATATACAAATCTCATCACACATCTGAAGATAACATGAGAAAGAAACAACAGAGAAGGCTTAGAAAGCACTGAGTGCATGCAGGCCATCTGTCTGCCCATGTGGAGACCCCTAGCAACAGCTGGAATCATTTAATAACCCACAGGGAACCTGGTCTGCGGCTGGGAGCCCAACCTGCATCATAAGCCACCTTCTCCCCAGTGCACTTGCTCCTGGGCTCCTATCAGCATTGCCTCCTCCATCAGATAACACTGAAGAGTGGCAAATATGGGGCCTATGTGGGATGGAATTGGCTTTTTAAGCCCTTTGCAAACACTGTGGGGTACAGGGGCAGGCACAGCAGCCATACTTTGCGATTTACCACGAAGTATGAATTCCTCTCACACATTTTAAAACATAAAATGTAAGGCTGACCTACCAAGTGGTTTGGGCCCTAAAAAGACTGCAAAGTACCTCTATTCCATCCCAAAGATGTAACTACAAGTTATCCACAGGTTTCTCCACTGCCTGAGCACTAGGACACAAGACATTTCAGAATGGAAGCAGGAACTGACAAGAGCTGTTTGTTAAGGTAACTTCCCTGTCTCTAGCTTCCTTCTCAGCCCAATAGGAGGAAATAACTTTTGTACTCAGGATGTTTCCATGGTGAAACTAGCTACCAACAGCTAAGAAGTAACTCTGCTATCTTGGATGAAAGTGAATGAGCTTTGTACTGCAGGATCCTCCCATTAAGGGCACTCTAATATGTGCTCTCAGGAGCTCTAGTAGCATAGTGCCTAAGGCACTTGACTGCTAACCAGAAGGCTGGCAGTTCAAACCCACCAGCCACTCCTCGGAAGGAAGATGGGGTAATCTACTTCCATAGTGATACTGCCTCGGAAACCCAAGGAGGGTTGCTATGAGTTGGGTCCGACTCACCGGCACATAACAACAATAACATGTGCTCT